ACCCCTGGAGTATCGAAGATGGGGGTGCAGAGACCGAACGTGAGCGTGACCCCTGGAGTATCGAAGATGGGGGTGCAGAGACCGAACGTGAGCGTAACCCCTGAAGTATCGATGATAGGTGCAGGAGCGAACGTGAGCGTGACCCTAGGATAATTGAGGATCGGTGTGCAGAGAGTGAAAGTAAGCGTGACCCCTGGAGTATTGAGGAAGCAACTACCCCAGCTCTGACTGATTGATTGATTGATAGGTTTTTCGTCCGCTTCACTACCGAGTATTTCGGTTATCCAGCAGACGATACCCCACCCCCACCCCCAGCTCACACTACCTACAGTTTATATACATAGATTGTCTGACTCATTGAAAGTATTGTTAGCTTGCGCTTCGTTAAAACAGACCTTTTATTTCCTAAAATATTAAGATTCAGGATAAAACAAAAATGCATAGCTTAGGTTGAAACTGACCATACGCGGTATGACTGCATTGTTGAATCAGGATAAAGTGAACAAAAAATGTCAGCAAAGCTTGCATAAACTCAGTTAAGCTGATCACATTTTTTATAACTCGATGTCCGCAGATTAAGATAAGTCGATGTGAAAACCTATCTAGGATTTTTCGACCAAATTATTAAAAGCATTGGTAGCTTAATGGTTTATAACACAAAACTTCTACCCTCGTCATCTAATTGATATCATTAATTGAAACATAAAAATCATTTTGAACATGAATACAGTAATTTTCTTTTTTCTATCAACGTTTCTGAACAACTCGATCGTTAAGCTTATCGCAGGCTGAATAACTAAAACAAATGACGACACATTTTATTAAGTGCTTTTTGGGGGATTTAACGGAAAACATATCTGATTAGATGATGAAAACTTTACCAAACGTAGCTGATGTATGTCAACATACATAACAACAATAACTTAGATAAAGGGAAGAAATAATTTGTTGATTTGTTGATATTTAATTCTAGTTGCATTTCTTGAGAATTATTGAATTTGTATATG